CACCAGCTTCTCCTCCTCACCCACACAATGATGGCATTGTGTGGGGTATCCAGCTCACTACACTCAGTCTCCCTTTCTGCAAACCCGGCTACAATGACAAGTCAAGTCAGGACCAAAGAGCTGAGCTTTCGGAGACAGCCAGCCCTATAACCACTTGGACAAGCTGGATAAATCCAAGTTGCTCATTTTGTATTGAATTTGTTTGCGTGCTAGCTAGCAACACTCAGAGACCGGGGGGACGAGGGGGGGAAAGATTTCAGAAGTCTTTAACTGAGGTCATGAAACACACAAGTAGATTCCAAAACCCGCCTCTGAAATGCCACACAGTTTACAAAATGGAAAAGTTGTAAATAAGCTGAATATTGTCAATGTATTGTATTTTACACATAAAAAGATGGACTGGCTCTGGATTTTTTCTTACAAAATACAAGTGCACTGTGAAGATCAGTTCAGTTTTGAGATTCTAATACATACACAAAGCCATTGACAGGCTATGATGCACATAAGCCTTTTGCAGCATAACACCCAGAAATAACACAAAGCCAAGATTATTTTTTTAAACCAGTTTAAAACACTAAAAAAATCCTGACTGCTGAATTCGACTGACCAAATTGAGAAGAAGCTGGGGATATCAACCTTCTGAAAGCTCCGAAATTTCAAGTTTGGAAGGCAAGAAGTCAGGTACTCTAAATCTATAATCACAAATAAAATTTTCAGCATGAAAACACTAAAATTAGAAAACAAGATAGCTTAAAATTATTTAGACGGCTCCTAAACTTTCATTGTGGTTCATAAGTGCATATTATGAAATACTCCAGCCCCTAAAAACCTGAAAAGACTAGTATATCAAAACAAGCCACAGAACAGTCTTTCTAGTGGGGCACAGTACTGAAGACTCTAGTAATGAGTAAGACAGAAGGATAACTTAAAAAAGGGGCGCTTAGAATACCGAGAAAGTGCCAAAGCAAAGGAGGTTAGGAGGTTGTTCCCAGGTACCTGAAAGAATAAGGTCCAAGGATGACAGTGAGGGGAAAAAGGGGAAGGAAGGAGAAGGGACCAATCTAATCACCACGCGAGAAGACCACAGCAATGGATTGACAATGAAGGCAGCTGAAGGCAGATTCTGGTGGAAAAAGGACAACAAATCATGAGAATTACAATGCTGCAGATCAGAAATTATGTCATCACGGCATGATGTCTGAAAAAACTGCACTCCATGAGATTACAGTTGGTGATGTCACAAAGAGAGAGGATGGAAAGTTCTGTCTTCATGAACTCTGTGTCCAAGGTAGCAGTGAGGCGAGCAAGAGGACACACCAGGAAAAGACAGCAGGGGAGAAGTCAGAGGTGGGTAACTTTGGAAATCATCCATGGGTTGGTGACAATTTAGGGAAGATAAAACTTCCAGCGCAGTGTTTCCCAAACTGAGCATGAGAAAGTCATGATCACCATCCACAGCTCTCCAAGGATTCCTGGCTGGAAGGGTCCCCATTAAAAATGCACCCTTTATGAGCAGAATATTGCCATGACCTTCCCCATTGGTCTACCATAAAACAGTTCAGTAGGTGATGCTTTTGAGACAGAAAACCAAAGAACCGACCCTCAGGCAACAGCATCAGGAAGTGGATAAGGAGCCATTTAAGGAGACATTGAATAAACAGTAAGCAAGGAGAAGAATCTAAAGAGCCCTGAAAGGCAGGAAAAAGAAAGCCTGCTGAATCAAAGGCGGTCGTCAACCCAAAATCTTGAGGACAGAAAGCTGTCCCTTTGCACTAGAGAGAGACTGCTAACGGTCACTGTGATGGCAGCTTCACTGGAGCTCAAAGCAGAAAGGAAAAGGAGAAGGAAACAGAGAGAGAACTAGAAGAAAACCATGGGAGAGCCAGCACAGAAAAACAAAAGGAATGGGGCCCTAATCAGATAAATACAATGTGAGCAGAGTTTTCCATTTGTGTTTCCCTTGAGAAACAAGACTGCCAGGACTTCAAAGGGAAAGGTAAATGAGTCGGAAAGGAAAAAGGAAAAGACTTGAGAAAAGGACCTCAGAGCAGAGGGAGGTGCAACGCAGGAGGAAAAAAGAATGAATTTAAGATTTAACATCACAGAACAGAGGTTGCAAATCAGCTGAAGAAAGAAATGGTGAAAACAACGAGTGAAGAAACAGAAAATAGCAACAAGGTCAGAGGGAAAAAGAAAAAAAAAGATAATTAATACTTGATTCGGCTGATATTTTAGTCTAGCTTTTTATGGAATGAGCTTTGTGTCCCTAAGCAGGTTGCCTCTCCCCATCCCAACAGCTTTTCAAAACGCTGGTCAGCTTTAGTGAAACTGCAAATCTCAAAGAAAATAAAGTTCTTTGAAAATGCATGGAGATGTGTGTTGAGGTAAAGGAGAAATAAATTTGTGTTTCCTAACCAGAAAAAAGGCTGTAACATGAATTCTTCCTTGTTATTGCTCCCCCATTCACCAGAGAATCAGCATGAAACTCCAGCTCCATACCCAGCAGAAGACTTCAATGAAACACAGGCTCTCTAATAAACCTGGGTTAATCAACTGAAAGGCAGAGATCCACAGGAGACAAGGCTTCCCTAGCAGCAGTGCTCAATGCTCAGAGCTTATTTAAACTCGCAAAGCAACTAGCTAAATTTTTGTATGAAGGAGGCTGGAGAGAAAGAGAAGCATGAAAAACTGATACTGGGAACCGAGGGTGAAGGTAGACTTGAGTACAGGCAGGAGCCTGGGTGGTTAGAAATAAGAAGTACAAGGTGGCAGCTTTCTCATGGTACAATGAATGTGTGAAAGCAAGTGTAGAGTAAAGATGAAGGAAAAGAAAAATAAACCAAACAGTCCAAAAGGGCTCAAGCGAAAAGGGTAACATTCTTCAGAGAAAAAGTAGAAACTGGCAACATAGAGGTTTCTGAGGCTGTCTCTGGTGTTGTGGTCATGTACTGCTGTCTGCTGCCATCCAGCACATCACTTCTGTTGACCTGAAAGCTCAGACAACTTTCAACAGCAAATGTATTAAATGACTGTCCACCAAAGGGACCACTAGTTGACTCAGTGGTCTCACTGTGATCTTTGCCAGTTCCTGGCACTCACTAAGGAAGTTGATTCAATAAGTGGAAGAAATTCATAAAATCCTAGACCAACCTGTTGAAGAGCTAGCGTCAACTAACCCAAATATTACCAGTCTCAAGCAGCCAAGTGACTGCTTTGGAATCTTGTTATTTCTCATAGACTGACAGGTTTTGTACGTAACTAATCTTTTTTTTTTTTTTCTTTTAACTGCAGCTATTGCCAAGTGCTGAATTACTGCATCTTGCAAATTAGCAAATAAGTGAACATGATTTTTTTTGTTGTTGTTGAATAATGGCTAACACATTACAAGATGGATTTCTTCATGTATTTTGACAAGTGTGGTCTTGCTTTAATTATTTATGAAAATGCTTTGCAGTATGCCAATAAAAGCCCTACAGTATATTTTTGCATATTTTTGAAAAATAACGAAGTCTTAGGGACATGGGACCTTTCTGCCCAGTCTGCGATTACATCTGTGCTTAGAGGGAACACGTGGGTGAGCAAATGACACTACCATTTGTGTGTTAGTGTCTGAGTACGATGAGATTTCCTATTTAATGAAATCAGCTACAGCATATTCTTACCATAGTTCTTCCTAACAGACACTTAAATTTTGATGGTTTTGTGGCATCTAAAAGAAAAAAATACAGACATGATATCCAAGGGAAACCTCAATACCAGAAAGAGATTCTAAAACTGAGGTGAGCTTAAATAGTTACTTTCACTACTTCAGTATCCACAGCTATAAAATAGGGAGGAAACCAGACTCCCATCCTATAGTTTTTTGCCTAATGACACAAACCCAGGACTATGATATGTCACTACAAAAGGCCAGTAGCATGGAAGAAGTTGCAGGTTCAAAGGATAAAGTAAAAATGGCTAACTGTACAGTATCTGAAAAATATTATAACATTTCACAAAAATAAACCAGAAAAATACCTTTTATTTATTTATTCTAATAACTTTATTTATATGGATATAGTACCTGTCACATTTTCGGCATGCATTAGTATCTTCACTGTACTAAGCACTACAAAACTATTTTAATTGGAAGGATGAAAATCATACGTCTTTTCTTTAGTTGTTAAAAAAGAACATTGCACTAGGGTACCATAACTAATAAAGTTAACTATGAGAGCATATGTCCTATGGTATCTTTTCTTTAGCATTTTTTGCACGACCTTCTTCCTTGCTCACATAACATTCACTGTACGTACAGCTCTAATTATTGCCATACACACATGGTTTAGCTGACATTGCTTCTCTGATGTGTATCTTGTCTTTAGACATTCTCTACTTTAGAACGGTGTATCGTATTACCACATCCTATGGATAGTCAATTCAAGCTCTGACAACCACAGCACTGCAAAGTAGCAGACGTGCCAGCACTGTAGTCTGCCAGATTAAATTTTGTGAAGACCAACCTGCTAATCCTTAAATTCCCAATTTGATTTGAGATTTGTTAGATAGATAGAGACTATGCCAAAAATTTCCAGATGATCACATCGTTTTCCCAAATTCCACCCCCTGGATACACAAAGGTAGCAGCTCACAGAAAAAGCCAGGCTGAGAGCAGACAACGGCCATATGAGTTCTCAGGGTATACCTAGCCTACAGATGGACAGTGAAGACTCTTAATGTGTTTTCACTTTATTCTTTGATTATCTCTTCATCCACGATCACATTCTCATGTTAGTCAATACTTACGGAAGTCCCTTAAAGACATACTTTGGCAGAAGTCATGAAGGGAAATAATTCCATGACGGTCATTTACTTGGCTTTACTCATGAATCAGAATTAATTCACACAAGAAAGGTACAGGCATCTTTGGAGACAATCAAGTCACACCAAATTTTATTGGTTTGCCCCTCTCTAAAATGAAATGCAGTCCTATAAAAGGAAAGGGAGATGATTGCACTCACCTTACATCCCTCACAAGCACTGACACCATAGTGATATCCGGATGACTTGTCTTGACAGACAAAACAGGGCTTGTAAACACGAGGGGGTGGAAGTGGTGAAGGAGGGCTCGGAACAAGTTCCTCAGAACTGGTGCTCTGAGTTTCAACTGCTACAAAAGAAGAAAGAAATATAATTGAATGGTTCATGAATGAATTTTAAATTACTAATTATTTACTGTATTATAACTATTAAACTGGCCCATATCTATCTTTGTATAATAAACATTCATTTGTCTTTCCTAGCAAAATTTAAGGGGAACTAAAGGCAGGTGACAGGCAAGTGACAGGACTATATGCTATAGCCTCAAAAGCTCATTTTTAAGTACCTGATCATTTTTCATGATCCAGCTACTCAACATCACAAAAGCTTCAGCTCACATCAGATATATGGCTTGAATCTCTTACCAGGCTCCAAAAATGGAGAACCTTGGGCTCACGCTCTGGTTTTAGCCTATTGAATTGCGTGGGATCCCTGTGCGCACACTCATTATCAACCTTCAAAGGGAAACAGTTTGTGGCACGTACCCTTCCAATCGGTACCTGATTTTGGGAGAGCTCTTGTATCTCTTGCCTTTGTCTACAACAGGTAACACTTCCAATGTGCAATTCTGCCACAACAGGATAGGGGCATGCATCAGGACATACGTAAAGAGACAAACGACTAAGTGTAAGCCCTGAAGTGAAAATTACCTGAACAAGTCGTCTTTTTTTTCATCTGTAAAACTAGCACAACCCAGCAACGCTTCCTTACCTTCCTTCAGATTTGTAACATCAGGAAGCCTCTCTGAGAAAAAGCTACTTACACATTATGACCCCACATCCCTTTATTGCCTTAATATTTCTAGATGGTCATTTGTTTTGAACCTGCTGAAAAGCCAGTTATCCCTTTCAGGGAAAGGACGTGAAAGCTCTACAATGCGAGATAAGACATGCGAACTACATCTTTCCAAAACATCTGCATTAGTTTTCTGTGATATGCTGTCATCATTCCTCACATTTATTGTAGACGTGCAATACATTTTCATGTTTCACCTAGCCGTTCTGCTGCTTCTCAGATAAATCCCTCTAACTTTTCAACAGATATACAGAAATGACAGGATCTGTGAACTCAGATCTATCCAGAAGTATTAGGCACTATCAGCAGAGCTAAATCTCAAGAGTACTAACAGCAGGCCCTAAAGAATATTACTCAATGGAAAATCTTAGACAAGATTTACTGTACATGATATTTTTCAGATTACAAAGATGATACATTTGTATTAAACTCATGATTCATTGTCAACTCGTGCTCTGCAGAATTCACAGAGGGCATCATGGAGCACGATGCAACTTCTGATTACTTGCGAGACAAGGGCCTCTTTCTGCCATTTTTACTTGGGTTAAGCTACTATCAACTTCAAGGACGGACATTTCTTGAGAAGAAAATGAATGCTAGAGTGATGTGTTAAAGGCTCTGATTCTAAGCAAAGAAATATCTTTCCAACAGGAACAATTTATTTATATATCTAACAATAATGAGGCTGTGAAAAAACAGAAAAGTAAAATAACACATGGCTCCATAAATTGTGACGTTAAGACAATGTCCAGAACTATACTTATCTTTTTCAGCATTAAATACACTGAACCTTGGCAAACCAAAAAGCTAGATGTTCCTACGGCACCAAGCAAACTTTAAAGAAGTTTTTTTCTTAATGAAAACACAGATGAGAATGATCATTTCTTTTCAACGGTAATTTCTGGTATTTAAGAGAGACAGAGAGTGCTCTGTTATTGATCTCTGCACAGCCATCCTCCTTGAATCAATAATCTATTAGTACTTTTAAATTAAAGTTAGATTCATCAAATGCCCTTGAGAGACCTCAAACATTCTGTGCCTTATTTCACGCTCATACATGAATTATGGTGGCTTCCAATCAGTCTGTGGAATGATAAAATTTTAGCTTTAAAACTCTAATACCAGCAGACAATGTGTTTCGTATTAGCTCATTCAACAATCCCAGTCCATCTAAAAGGCAGTTTTTAGGCTCCCTATGGGAAAACAAGGTTGTGTCATTCAATAAAACAACTGCACTCCTGCAATCCTTCTATGATTTCAGTTTGGGGAAAGCAGTCTTTGAGGAATAATACTGATACACTTCTGCTTTTTTGATGATTTCATCCTAAACAAGCACCACCAACCAATAGCAGTGTTCAAACCACGAACCATATGTACAACAGAGGTCCATCAGGCAGTGGCCAAGTACCAGGAACTTGCGATATCCAGCTCAGTTCATAAATACACAACATAGTCAGCAACTGAAGAGCTGAAGGTGCTGCTAGAGAATTTTTTTCTGGACAATTTGAAAAGGTATATGAGAAGGAAAGAGCCAGTATAAACCAGAAGACCTTCCCTAAAATACCCATATATATATGCCACTAAAACGGCTCAATCTATTCAATATAATACTTGCATCAGCTGAACCACCATCTAGAGAGTTTGATTTTTTTTTTTTTTGGTACGAAAACCCAGTTTGGGAACATTCACTTTTGATCACAGGCAAGATGTACAGCTTTCTGGAGAAGGCTTCAACTCAGGTTACACACGCTCGACTCTTACTCTGGCTTCTGACTTACTATTATTCCTTGGACTTAGCCTTTCTTTATTTGAAAATGTATGTACTGCCAGCATGGAAATGCAGAAATCCGGTGCAGGCATCTGTAGCAATTCATGCTCAGCAGGTATAAAGCGTTATTTCTGTATCACGTCGGTGGCTAGTGGACGCCTGACAGCAGAACCCGCTGTCTTCTATGCATGTCTGCACGTGCCAGGTGGAAAAAAGAAAGGATGGGGGGCAGAGAGCTGACATTTCCAGAAAAGGCATTTTTAAAGCAGTCTCACAATTTTAGGAAGAATTCAAAGAAATAAAAAATAAAGCAAACTACTTCTTTCCATGCCCTGCTGTCTCGTCCTGCGGGATGTGACACTTCAGGGTCCCTACTCACCTGGGAAAACAGAGCCTCAGTGCCGTCACCCAACACCTGAATGCCGCTTAAGCACACAGGGACTCTCAAACAATCGGTCACTTCACAATTCCTAAGATGTCTGAAATATTTCTAAAGGTTAGATAAAGCAGCAGATAAGATCTTTTTTAAAAGCACAGTGTGCTTTGTGAGAGCTAATTTACTGCCGGCTAAACCATGTTGACAGATGGAGGAGGTATTTTACTTTGTGACCAACTAGAAGCAGGCAGGCATCATGAAATGCTTTGCGTTTCACTAGAAACTTAGATTATTAAGCTTGTATGTTAATGCACACTTTGGACAGTTGAGTCTTAAAAGAATAAGAAGTTGTAAAGCAAATGGCATTTCCTGGATAGCCTCAAGGGAATTTTGAATACTGAGCTAAGGGTCCCTGGTGGGAAGCAGCAATTTCAGCTAATTAGGGTGAATAGCAAAGTGTTGCATTTGGTCAAAACATTCTGTTAACCCTCATTTTTGTTGGCACCAACAAGAGTCTGGATTTTTTGCCTCTTTTTTTTTTTTTTTTTTGTGAATTCACTGCAGGAGTGCAAGGCACACAGCTCACATACATTAGGCAGAAAGTCAAAGGAAACGCCAAAGTTCAACTAAAGTACAAGTAATTAGAACCAGATTCTCTGCTGCTTGTATGTGTGCATTTGATTGTAGAAGTTATTTATAAGCCTCCAAACATTTGAAAAAATAACTATATACTGTAGATCATTTAATTTTTATGTCTCGTCTGGAAAAAAAAGTCTGCTTTTAATCATCTTCCAGGAAAGAGCCAGGAACTGGGAAAGTGGGTCTCAATTGTTTCAATACAAATTTCTCTCTTTCATGTGCCACATAAAACTATACTATAAAATTAAATCCAAAATATCATTGACTCAACCCCCCCCATCCAATTTTTTTTTAATAAAAAACTTCTTTGAATTTGTCATGCTTAAATAGTTTGCATTGTTATGAGGGGTTTTATTTTTTTAAACTGTTGTTTGGAAGACAGACAAGGGGGAGAATAAAAAAAAAGAGTGAGAGAGAAAGAAAACATTATCGTGGAGACTTGCCAGCCTTGACTTAGTAACCTGGCCATGACCCTCCAGCGAGTGTGTGTTTGACCCGGTCACACATGACTCTGGCTGCGTACTGTTGCTGGGTTATAAGTCCCAGATATTTTTACCATATATACAACAGGTGGGGATCACAGACAACAGAAAGAGGAAAACAAAGTCTTCCCTTGTGTGAAGACTCCCATTTTCTCCCTTGCAAAGAAAACAACAAAAAGCAAAGAAGGCGTGCTACTATTTCACGTATCGGCACTCGCTGTGCTGGATCATTGTTTTACCCAGGGGCTGACGGCACGGAGGTGGAGTGGGCTGAGGGCAGGAGGACGGAGGAAAAGGCTCAGGGGAAGCCATGTGCAAATGTTAGTCAATGAAGAACGAATTACCAAACAGTAACATCGGAACCACAATAAAAAAATCTTTCCTCATAGGGCTGGGTATGCATCGAGGTTCAGGAGGTTTATTATGAGTGAACCCAACATATCTGGATTAAAACATAGGCTGCCACAATAACTCCAGATTGAGATACTATTATCAGGATTTTCAGAAGTACTTAAGAAAGTATGTCTTCCACATTTGAGGGTTTCTTTTCTATTATTTGCGTCCTGCTAGCTGCACAAATCTGCCTTAAGGCCATGATGTTAAATATAAGTTATTCTATTTTAATTCTTGATTACAATTTTTCCAGCATTAATTTTAATCAAGTAATAGTTCATCTCTACAAGACTGCCTAGGTCTTAAAAAAAAGGTATTATTTGGGCTGAAAGACCAAAAAACACCTCTGTGTCTTCAGTTTTGCTTTTAGTCTGAAAACGGGCATTCTACTTTCAACAGGGACATCAGAAGATGAAACTTTATGACCTGGTTTCTGCTTGAGGGTACCCAATCCAAAATGATCCCTTTCTGTTATTTTAAAAGCTAAGAGTATCCCACAGGTTTTCACTACGTGCTGCTCAGGATCCCTACAGTATGATTAAAATAACAAAAAAACTAGCAAGAAGTTGAGGTTATGGAGCTCAGAAGCCCAATCTGCAAGATCTTACAAATGGACAAACT